GCGGGCGGAGCGCGCTGTGGAGAATCTGCCCGCGCGGGCCTTGCAGCGAGGCGGCGGGGCGGGGTTGTGAGCGGCCTCCGGCTGTCCCGCAGGGAGGAGCCACCAGGCGCTGGGAGCGCTCCGAAGCAGCGCGCGCGGACTGCTGAGGTGAACGCCTGGCCTCGTGGCCCCTGCGGGCTGCGGGCCCTCGTCCGCTCCTGAGGGCTGGGCAGGGTGGTCGCGAAGGCGAGGCCCGGGAGGATCCTGGGCCGACCCTCGGCTCACCCGTGGCCCTGCACTGTCGGAAGCCAGCGGGTTGGGGTGTGTGGGACCCGGCGTCTGTGAAGCCGACAGACGGAGGTCTCCCACAGTCGGAACCCGAGGGGTCAGTGTCACATCGAATACGCGTGTCGTGTGGAACCGTGTGGAACGCGTGGGCGCGCTTAGAATGAGTACGCGCTGACAGACGCGCCTGCGGTCAGTGCACAATAGACGCGCATTCCACACGGACTCCAGACACCGTTGTCGCTTACGTTGGGGTTCACTCTCGGGGTTGGACATTCTTGGGTCTGACAAATGCGACAGGACACGTGTCCACCGTGAGAGGACCCCACAGAACAGTCTCACTGCCCTAGAAATTCCTGCTGCTGTCGCCCGTCCCTCCCTCCCTCGACCCCTGATAACCCTGGATCTTGTGCCAGCTCCACAGTTTTGCCTTTTCCAGGATGTCACAGAGTTGGAATCATCAGAATACATTTTCAAACTGAACAAACGGAGTGTTGCATGTCACTGCAGGGTTTGAAAGGCACTGCGGTTTTAGATCCTTGTCTTAGAATTGCTGGGCACTGGGCTTATCTATAAAGGTGCAAACGTGAGGAGGGCATGAAGTGATAAACTTTAGGAAACGGTATTTGAATGCAAGTCATGCAGTTTTCTCTTTCTTTCTTTTAAAGCAGCCTAGTTGTAAAATTTTAAAGTACCTTGAAAGGCTACTAGCAAGCATTCTTCTGTCTCCGTGTTGCAGATTCTCCAGTGTGATGCCAGCCAGCCAGTTTTCTAATGGACACCCCGGAGTGTTTGGAAGTCAGAATTTTTTTTTAAAAATATATCTTTATTGATTTCAGAGAGAGGAAAGGAGAGGGAGAGAGACAGACAGAAACATCAATGATGAGAGAGTCATTGATCAAGCCCACAACCGGGTATGTGCCCTGACCTGGGAATCGAACCCCGATCGCCTGGATCCCAGGTCAACGCTCAACCGCTGAGCCACGCCCGGCCGGGCCAGATAGAATTTTATAACGCAAAACCTACCCAGTTCCCATTGAAGCAGCAGAAGTGAAAATGGCCTTTCTGAATTGGATTTATAGAGACAGTTGAAATTGTTCCCCTCTAGGAAAGAAAATTTCCAATTTTACCAAAATTTGTCACAAATCTGTGGTTTCTGATGAGAGGTTGGGGAGATTCCAATGTACAGAAATGACCATATAAAGAGGACTTCTGTTCAGTAGCCTAACTCCCCATCGTTCTGTAGAATAAAGTAGGAAGTTACAGGAACATCATCACCGAGCTCCCTTGAAGCTCCACTTGTCTAGCAAGATATAAATCATACTTGTTCTCATAATTTAAATACTTGATATAAATGTAAAATTAGCTGTTAACTAAAATTCTATCTAAAAAGCTAATTATAGCAGTATTATTATCAAATTACAAATCAGATTGATTTAGAGCTCATTAATTTAGTCAACAACAACCAGCAGCTACTATGCACAAGGCACTAAACTAGGCACCAGATAAGGCTCAACTCTGTCATCATGGAGCCAAACCTTTTAATGAGGGGAAGACAGACAGTACACGCAATGAGTATGAATTAGGAATGCTAAGAGGGGAAATAGAGGCTGGGAGATACTTAAGTTAGGTAGTAGGGAAGGCTTCTCTTTGAGAACCAAAGAATGCCGAGGGGCCTGCCTTGGGAAGGCCTGAGGGTGGGGTTGGGGAGGGTGCTCAAGGGAGAGGGAGCTGCATATGCCAAGGCCCCAGTCCTATTTGAGGAAAGGAGAGCGGCCAGGGTGACTGGAGAGTGGTTATCCAGGGGGAGAGTGATAAGAAATGAGGAAGAGATGGGCAGAGGGCAGATCAGCTGGGTATTACAAGGTTATAGTAAGGAGTTTGGATTTAATTCAGTGTGCAGTTGGGAAGAGTTTTAAGCAAGGGAGAGATGATCTAAGTTTTTAAAGAATTCTCTGTCATGTGGAGAAGAGATGGAGGAGGCAAAAGTAGAAGCAGAGAGTGGTAAGGACAGGGAGATGGGGGGGGGG